TACAAGTAAAATTAAATCCTTGATGGCTTTAATCTTTTATGTTTATCATGAAGTTGTCTATTAGTTCAACTGTGAAGATTTTTTATTTCCTTTACATTGAGTTGTAGTTCCTACTGAAAGCAGTAGTATTTGATCTTCGTCAGTAGGTGCTTCAAGGTCTCCTTGCTTTCGCCAAACAAGGTTGTGTCATCTGCATATTACAGGTTTTTAATATTACTTCCCTTAATTCTGTTGTGGCATTCACTTCTAAGATTATTTGCTCAGTATATAGATTGAATAAGTATGGTGAAAAGATACCCCACCTACTGCACACCTCTTTTTGATTTTACACCATGTATTATCTCTTATTCTGTTCTAACAACTGCCTCTTGGTCTGTGTACAGACTCCTCCTGAGCACAATTAAGTGCTCTGGAATTTCCCTTCTTCTCGGTGTTATTCATAGTCTGGGATGATCCACATCGTTGAATGCCTCTGCACTACCTATGAAACACAGGTAAATAGCTTTCTGGCATTCTCTGCTTTCAGCCAAGATGCATCCATACCATTGCTAGCTCTTATTCCATGTCCTCTTCCGAATTCAGCCTGAATTCCTAACCCTTCCCTCCCGGTGAACTACTGCAGCAATTTTTTAATTGTCTTGGCATAATTTTATTTACATGTAATATTAATTATATTGTTTGATATTTTGTTCATTCTGTTGAGTCACCTTCGTTTTTGATGGCCACAGATATAGATCTCTCCCAAGAAGCTTCTTCGACTGGACTAGTGAATGCTTCCAGGGCTGCATTAGTCTGGTGAAACTTTTCAACTGATATTCCATTAACCTCCCCCCACTTTTTTTTTCACGAATGTCTTCAGGGCAGCTTGGGCTTCTTCCTTCAATATCATCTGTTCTTGATCACAGGCTAGCTTTTGAAATGATTAAATATCAACCAATTCCTTTTGGTACAATGACTCTGTGTATTCATTCCATCTTCTTTTGATGTTTCCTGCATCATTTAATATTTTGCCCCTAGAATTCTTTAATATTGCAACTCAAGGCTTAAATTTTTTCTTCAGTTCTTTCATTGAGAGATATGATGGGAATGTGTGCTCTTCCCTTCTGGTTCTCTAACTCTAGATCCTTGGACATTTTACTATAATGCTTGGTCTTCTTAAGCTGCCCTTTGCAATTTTCTGTTCAGCCTTTTTAACTTCATTTCTTTCATTGGCCTTAGCTGCTTTATTCAGGGTCTCTTCTGACATCCATTTTTGTCTTTTCTTTCATTCCTGTGCCTTAAATGACCCTTTGCTTCCTTCCTCTAGGATATTCTTCATGTCATCCCACAACTCATCTGGCCTCTGATCATTCATGTTCAGTGAATCAAAACTATTCTTGAGATTTTCTCTAAAATCAGCTGGGCGATTTTCACTTTTGAATTTGGTCCTCATGCACTTGCTTTAACTTTCTTGAGCTTCAACCTGAGCAATTGATGGTATTTTCCAGTTAGCTTCTGGCCTTGTTCTGGCTGATGATGTCTTCTAACAGATACAGTCATTTTAATTCCTGTATTTTCCATCTGGCAATGTACACATATATAGTCACTGTTCGTGTTGTTAATCAAAGACATTTGCAATGAAGAAGTCATTGGTCTTGCAAAATTCTGTCATTTGCTCACCAACTTTGCTTCTATCACCAAGGCTATATTTTCAAACTATTGATCTTTCCTTTGTTTCCAATTTTCAGATTCCAATCACCAGGAATAATCTATGCATCTTGTTCATATGCTTGATCTACTTCAGGCTGAGGAAATATGTATAATTCTTAAATTTTTTCAACGCTGGCTTTAATGATTGATATGTAATGTCAAATAATAGTTTCATTAACTTGTCTTTCTTTTAGGCATGTAGCTATTGCCCTATCATGACGGCATTGCATGTCAAGATAAATCTTTAAATGTTCTTTTTGATGACAAATGAAACACTCTTCTTGAATTTATCATTCCCAGCACATTAACCAATGACTGTCTCATTCAAAATGGCCACACCAGTCCATCTCAGCTCACCGATGCCTAGGACACTGATCTTTATGCACTCCGTTTTATTTTTGATGACTTCCAATTTTCCTAGATTCATACTTTGCACATTTCATATCCAGTTGCTACTGGATGCTTGCATGTTTCTTGTTTTGAGTCGTGCCCCATCAGCAAATGAAGGTCCTGAAGATTTTGCTCCCTCCATGTCTATAAGATGAGCTCTACTTTGAGGAGGCAGCTCTTCCCATTGAATTTTGTGAGTGCCTTCCAGTGCCCTGGGATGCTAATCACAGAGTCAGCAGTTTGAACCCACCAGTTTCTCCAAAGGAGAACGATGACACTGTCTCCTCTCAGGAAGGTTTGTATGTTCAGAAACCCCGGAGGGCAGTTTTACTCTCTTCGATAGAGCTACTCCGTGACAGAATTGATGCTGTGGCTGTTGGTTTGGTTTTTGTTTTGTTTTTCCAATCTAAAGGACTCATCTTTCAGCACTATATGCAAACAGTATTCCACTGTTATTTTTTCTTCATAAGGCTTGTAGGGGCTAATCCTTCTAGTGCCTATTCCTTCTTCCTAGTGCTTTCTCAGTGTGGAAGCTCTGCTGAAACTTGTTCACTCTGGGAATCCCTCCGGGTATTTGAAATATCATTGGCATAGCTTCAGCATTGCAATGACATGCAAGCTACCACCGTATGACAAGCGGACAGGCAAACGGGGAGCCTCCTATCATGCCTCTTAATGTCAGGGCCACGCTATGAAGACAGTAATTATTTCCAGTCAGGAAGGAAAGAATTGATTTCTATGATACTTTAAGGTCTATCTTTCAAAATCTTGGAGCATTCAAACATCCAACTACTTTCTTGGATTATTTTAAAATAGGCCTAAAAGTATCTTTTGAGTTTAAGCAAAAGTAGTTTTCATTTAAAAATGAACTATCTGATCAACAGTAAAGGTGGGTCTTAGCAAGGTAAGGTTCTTTAAGGTTTGCTGTCAGGTGCCGTCAAGATGCTCTGCGTCATCCACGCACGAGTACCATCCTGCCTGGTCCAGTGCCATCTTCCACTCATTCCTACGATGGGGCCCACTGTCAGAATCACCTTTGTAGAGGGCCTTCCTCTTTTTGGATGACCGTCTCTACTCAACCTTTCAGAAGGAGATCCTCAGGCCTGTCTCCCAACATGCCTCGTGGGTGGGCTCCATCCCCCAACCTTGGAGTTTGTAGGCTAGTGCTTAACCGTTTCTGCTACACAGGGACTCCTAACCCTATTGTAATAATGAAGATACTAAGTAAAACACTAACTCAACTAATGGAAGCAGAAGTAGGCAAATGACTTGGGTGGCGTTCCCCAGGAAACAGACGCTGAAATGGAGATGTGGATACCGGAAGTTCACTGGCAATGATTCGCTGGAACAACACCTACAAGGGATTAAAGAAAGTCCTGCCCTTGGCAGAGAGAAAAGGGCAACACAGTCCCAGCAAAGACTCTAGTTCGTCCCAGTGAGAGCCCTCCGCTGAGCCGGCTCTTCAAAGCGACTCCAATACCATATAAGAATTGAGGGTCCTGCACCAACCAGCCATTTTATATGGCCCTTCCCGGGGCCAACGGTTTAACCCGGGACCAGACAACGAATCCCTTGCAAAGACCATGTTAGGGGAGGGACTCAGCTGTGAGCCCTTGGCTTCCCAACGCTTCCATCTGATGAAACTTTTTTTTTTTAAAGAAACGAATGAGGGCCTGTGTGCTCGGGGGTCATCCGGGTGGCATAGCATGAAAACTCCCGTGGTCTGTCCTTGGACCCCTCGCATCGACTTAATATGTTTCATGTAATATATTCATCCACGTGGGGACAACTCCCCAGGCGACTGGGAAAATTTCGAAGAGGACGGTTAGCAGACTCGCAGCTCCTCTCAGGTCGCATCTGAGAGGCAGACCTCCTCCGGAGTCTTCATCTAGACTCAGCTAACCCCTCGGCTGCCTCGGGTGGCTTATTTTGTGCAGGGACACAACGCCTTCTCTTTGCCACTAGGCGCTTCTCACACCTCGGCTGTTACATCGGTCCCCTAACCATCAGCACTGAAGGAGGGCGTGCCAAGGGACACTCAGCGCATCACCTGGCTGACACGTTATTTCCTGCCTCAACGGTGTATGAACAGTCGAGCTGTTTCTTCCTCCTACCGAAAACCAGACCACTGCCAGGTAGCTGATTCTGAACCACCCCATGCATTTTCCATGGATATAGATCTATTTTGGAAGCACACGGACACATCTTTCTGCGGTGGCTAGTGGCTTCGAAACACAATCGTATATTTCACAGCTACGTGCTTTCACCACTGCCCCACCTGAGCATCCTCCTCCTGAGAAGTGGGGCCAATGACTCTCCAGGATGGTGAGTCTCCCCAACAATATATTCATTCTTCATTCATTTTAAGAAATCTGGGCGTTCTGGTGGTGTGAGGGTTACGCCTTGGCCTGGGCTGCATGGGATCTGCATGGTCGGCAGTTCGAGACCACCAGCAGCTCCCCATGAGAAAGATTGGGCCTTCCACTCCAGTGAACTCCACAGGGGCCGCTGAGTCAGCAGTGAGTCCGAGTGTTAATCTATTGGTACCAGGAGCACTGGGTGACTGAATGGCAGTTGTAGCTTGAAGTTGAACGGTAAAAATAATGAGCTCCCTGGTGGAAGTGCTCCCCTCTGAGAAACAAGGCCTCCAGACACTCAAAGCTTAGAAGTGAGAAGACAGGAAGTGCAGCTTCCCCAAACGGTTGCTGACAGTGCAGTAAAATGGGGTCAGTCCTACTTTCACGCCTTGACTGTTAATCTCCCTGCTGGGGACACAGTACCACAGAATGGTTGTCAATTTGGGTGCATACTACAGCCTGGCGTGTGGGGCCTCATGTTTGCAGACTATCATTTCAAAGCAGACACCTCAGCTGTGTCTTTAAGTAGCCACCTCAGCATTCTCTGAGACCAGCAGCTTCGGGATGGTGTGGCCTGTGAAGAGTCGAGCGGATTCCAGATTGGGGGTCCAGCTCTTCTCTTGCTACAGAGTGGGGATTCCAATCGCCACTGAAGTTACACAGAATCCAGATGTGGTGGTCAGTGTGGCGTTAACGTGGGTAAGCAGTGATTCTCTGTGGTCTGTGATCATTCTCTACCTTCTATCTGATGTGAGCTTCTTTGGGGGTGGGAGGTGTTGTGTGTTAAATACCAGTGGATGTTCTGACAAAGATCTCCCTCTCTGATGTACACAGGTACAGATAGGAACTGGAACCACAGGGAATCCAGGCCAGATGATCCCTTCAGGACCAGTGGTGAGAGTGGCGATACCTGCAGGGTGGAGGGAAGGCGGGATAGAAAGGGGGAACTAATTACAAGAATCTACATATAACCCCTCCCTGGGGGACAGACAACAGAAAAGTGAATGAAGGGAGACATCGGACAGTGTAAGATATGACAAAATAATAATAATTTGTAAATTATCAAGGGTTCATGAGAGAGGGGTAACAGGGAGGGAGGGGAAAATGAGGAGCTGATACCAAGGGCTCAAGTAGAAAGCAAATGTTTTATGAATGATGATGGCAACAAATGTACAAATGTGCTTGACACAATGGATGGATGTATAGATTATGATGAGTTGCATGAGCCCCCAATAAAATGATTTTTTTTAAAAAGACCTCCCTCGACTGACCCTGTACTCAATTTTTGGTCTGACTCCGGTTCTTGGAGAAGCCTTTAAGCAGCCACCTGACCTGTGGATGTGGGATTCATGAGCCCCCTCCCAATCATGTGACTTCGGAGACACATCAAGCCTGACCCATAGATGTGGGACTTGCTGGCCCCCACATTTGTGGAGGTCATTTCCTTGAAGTAATTCTGTCTCTGTATGTTTATTTTTACATCTTACATTTCCCTGGTTTTGCTCCTCTAGTGAACCCGGTCTGAAACACCAGGCCAGGGATAGCAATACTCTCAAGCTCTCAGGTAGTGGTGTTGGCTGAGACCTCATGGTCAGAGAAGCAAATTTATCCATCCAATGTCTTGATTACAGCAACAATGAATTAATGTATCATCAAGTGTCTGATTGGTCTCTGCGAGGGATAATATATATGAGGAGCTCCACGTGGGCTCTGCTGAGAGCAGGTAGAACTTTTGGTGAATACAAACCCATGCTTTGTATTCCATTCTTACCTTAGCTTCCCCCTCTGCCATAACAACTCATCTGGCAGTTGAACACCCACCCTCTGGAGGTTTGAAATACCCTGCTCTGGAGACCAGATGACTCCAAAGGCCAGACCCCAAAGAAGAAATCATTATTTCCCAACATTGGAAATGTTGACCCAGATGTTGCTAAAATGAACCCAAACATCAAAGAAATACAGTCATGTCCACAGAGCTTCCAATCAAAGTGCTCTAATGAGGAAAGCCTAGAACAGGAGAGATAAAAGGGAAAACAGGCCAACAGAAAAGAGCACATATACAGAGAAAATACATGAGAAAATAAGCTCAGGGAGAAAAGAGAAGATGTTTTCCAGGATGCTATGAAAAGACAAGGGACAGAGAAAAAAACAAGACAGCGCAACTCAAAAGAAGAGCTGAAAGTGTACTCCCTGAATTGACTCATTACACATTGGGCTCCTAACCACAAGGTCAGCAGTCTGAAACCACCAGCTGCTCTGAGGGAGAGACTTGAGACTCGGCTGTCTACTCTCGCAAAGAGCTACAGTCTTAGAAACCCACAGGAGCAGTTCTACCCTGTCCTATAGGGTCACTAGGAGTCAGAATTGACTTGATGGGAGTGTGTTTGATTTCTTTGGTGTGTTATTTACTCATATTCTTCTCAAAGTAATCATGAGGTTTCTGGACCAGGGATAGATTTATTCTTACAATTTCATGCTGGTCCCCTATGCCCCAGTTTACCCCTCTGGGGCTATACAATGAGAACAAGATGGACAGAAAGAATACTGTATCATACCAGGAAAGGGACCCCACCTATATGGGTATAGGAGTATATATATATGAGACAGCCAACGGTGTCCATTCTCTTTCTGAGAAACCTCAGTATCGGCAAAGCTCTGGAAAGGGCAGGGGACTTTATACATCACTGCTGGTTGGTGGAGAGGGGTGGGGAGCAGGAGAAAGGGGGAGGAGGGTTGGCATAAATAAGCATCCCACATTTGTGACCCATGGAATGCCTCCTCCCAGTTCCCAATTTCATTCTCCCTTGAAATATGAGTACATCTCTCCAGAGTGGTATCTATTTAAAAATACATATATTTTACTTAAAAGATGGGAGAGGTTTTATATCTCCTGATGAAATTTGGGGACTACCTGAATGAAAAGTAAATAGGAAAAGGCTAAGCCAGCCAAGAGCCCCAGCCGCTGAGAAGTCCGTGGGAAGTCGTAGGCTGAGCTGCTAAAAGGGCATGGGAGTCACAGTCTCCAAGGCTGACTTGCCAAGAGGGTTTACATCTTACTACTAACATAAAACCTCCACATCCAACAGCCCCGTGTCGAGAGATGAGGAATACATACATGTGTGGTAGCAGGCGATTGGCGTGTGTGGACGTGTGTATCCGAACGAGCAAAGTTACAGCCTCCGTGTTCAATAGCAGGATCTCCATAGATAATGATGAAAATGAATCCTTAAACCCTGAAAATATCAGCAGGCCGAAGAGGAATCGGAATGACCTGCCTTCAGGATCTGTTTCAAAGGCGCGAGGAGACGCTTCTGCAGAGTGGGAAGAAGAAGTGAGGGAATGGTGGGCTTCTGTTGGTCTGAACTCTGTGCTTGTGTATTTTGGTAAAGATGAAAACTAAATTCTGAAAAATTAGTGCCAAAATACAACAAATAAAAATGAACACGTAGCCTGTCCGTCACTGGCAGGCAAGAGACTCGAGTCAGAAGTGATTGTTCATGTTGCTGTCGTCAGTGCCAGGGAGGCGGTCCCCGCTCACAGGGATGCCGTGTAACCAGAGCGAAATGCCGCCCCATCCTGTGCCGTCCTGTTCTTGTGTCTGAGCGCACTGGGGCAGCTACTGCTATCAGTCTGTCTTGTTGAGGGCCTTCCTGTCTGTCACTGCCCCTCGACTGTCCCAAGCAGAGTGCCCTTCTCTAGGGACTGGTCTCTCCTGACATCGCGTCCAAAAGATGTGAGACCGAGTCTCGTCACCCTGGCCTCTAAGGAGCATCTGGCTGTGCTTCCTCCAAGACACATCTGTGGGTTCTTTTGGTAGTTCTTGGGACTTTCTCTAGTCTTTGGCAGCATCGTAATTCAAACACATTGATTCTTCTTCAGTCTTCCTGATTCAATGTCCGACTTTCACATGCATATGAAGCCATTGAGAAATACCATGACTTGGGTCAGGCACACCCTAGTCCTCAAAGTAACATCCTTGCTTTTCAACACTTTAAAGAGGTCTAGGCAGCAGATTTACCCAATGCAATGTGTCATCTGACATAACATCGTGCTTGCTATCTAGGCATTTATCTAAGCACTTCATAAAAAATTAAGTTTACATCATTTCAACACAGCCCTGTGAGGTCTGAAGGTGCTACCCTTAAGCCCATGTTCAATTGAGGGAACTAAAGCACAGAGAATTTAAGAAACTTGCTCAGTCACGCATCTTTTAAATGGGAAAGCCAGGATTCAAAGCCACGTAGCCGGACTTTAAACCCCGCTCCCCAAGCACCTTGGATTTGGAGGAAATAAAGGAAGTACAAATAACCAAATAAAGTAAATGTACCTTTCTTTTCATTTCTTTTTTACTAATTAAGACATAGAACATTGACATTAAGTGTTACCTGATGATCTGAGTTGAATTAGTTAAGAGAATCGATGTCATAGAAACAGTAGGCTGTCAGGTTCATGAGTCCACAGACTCACTGCCCTTGAATCCATTCCGATTCACAGGCCCGCATAGCACAGCGCGGACCTGTGTCTTGGGGTTTCAAGGCTGTTTGGGGCAGCAGAAAGCATCATCTTTCTCATTGCCCATTAATTTATTAGTGAACCACATATACCTAGAAAGGTGCTTGGTACATAGGGGACATGACAAAACAGGATTTGAAGCATCCTGCATCGACCGGGTATTTCTCCCTTTCTTGTTCTGAGTCAGCCACTGTCCCCAGCAGCAGCTGGAGCTCACAGGTCCAACCATGAACTCATTCAAGGGGTGGGACTATATAGCAGTGTGTGAAAAAAACCCTCCAATGTTTACATTCAGTGAGAACAATGAAAGCAGTGGTGGATATAGGAATATGAGTAGACTAAAAATGGATCAACAGAAAAGCTCCTGAGAGTTTTCTGCCAGTCATGCCCAATTGTTGTAAACAGCCTGGTGTCAAAGCTTAGTGCTCTGACTTATGTATGCAAATCAACATGGCTAAGTCGGTGGTACAGACAGTTGCTATGAATTGGAGCCAACTTGAAGGCACCTAACAACAGCAGCATAAATCTGTGGTGATTCTACGGTATAATATTCCCATGCCTGTAGTAGTTACATAATCTGGTGTCAATTTGGGGATTAAGAGTGTAGGGGTGGAGTCTAGGCTGTCAATCATGATATAGCCAACGATGCCTCTGGGTGCATATGGCCTTCTCCTGAGGATTTGGGGAACTCCTGTATTTTCCTCCTTGGAAAGTGGGAGTCTCTCTCCCTCTCTCTCTCTCTGTCGATTCACTCCCTCAGAGATGCTCTACTGACAAGACACATGGCACTAAGCTGATAGAGCCTGTGCCTGGGAGCTAGCGAAGCCATGCGGAGACACCTGCCAGCGCTGAGATGTTACAATGCCACTGGATCCACAAGACTTCCCACCCACTGGCCTGTGATCTTCCTGCATTTGGCACCATTGAATGTGTTTCATGAGTCAGAAGAGGACTTTATAGATTGGTATCAGACATATGGGCTAATATTGGACTTATGGATTTGATCTAGACTGGGCTGGGATGTTTTCTCAATATTCAATTGCTCTTGTATATAAAGCTATTTCTTATATACATATGAAAGTCCATGAATTTGTTTCTCTAGTCTACCTGGAGTAGTCAATGGACCAGTTGGACATCTGCAGCTTTCAAGACTATTTGGGGACAGAAACTACACGACCTTAACTTTG